TCGCAAAAACAATTTTTTCATAAGACAAGTTTGATGTAAAATTTTCCGCTCTTTCGAAATCCGCAGTCAAAAATAGGGTGTCCCATTAGAAAAAACCATCGTGACCTTGAAGTAACCTTCAAAATTGACCTCAAGGTCAAAACCAATGGTACAATTGAATGACCCCCTCTGTCCTGGTCAACTTTTATCTAAACCATTTTTTTGTAGATACCGTAATTTGGAAGATATTCGGATCCATAGACTAAAATGACTCACCCTGTATATATTTCTTACATCACTAAAAATGAGAATACATCTTGGAGACGTATAACAAGATAAAGTACTTCGTTATCAAACGTTTACAATGTATTATAAAAACACGTTTACTCTTTATTTACACATTTCAACAGCTTGACACGTTAAATGATTTTTACACGGTTAGGAAATTATAAATCGTGAAGGATTTTTATGAAAGTAAATTACACGAAGAAAGAATGCAAACACTAATCTGCAAATGCATTCTATTTATATTCGAAATAAGTAATGATTTTAATTGAAATGAGAAACATGTTATATTTAAATATAATGAAAATCACAAAATTGAAAACGGATGTAAATCATAGCTACATTGTCAACTCAAGTGTTATTTTGACTAAATTCTTTTTTTACACGTTTCTTACGTTTTAAATCACGCTATTTTACATGCTCAAACGTATTAAATTATAATTTACACGTCTTAAACGTGTCATGACATGATTTAATATACTAAAGAGCATTTAAAAGGAGTCCAATCAAATTATCCATTTATGTCCTTTAAGATAACACATTTGCAGTGTAGTCATTTGTAGCTTCCGAATTTAATCTATGGATCAGAAGAAACATTACCCTCACAGCAACGAACATTGCAGTAAGGTTATGGATAGGTTATAAGCTTACACATTTTAATGAGCATGTTACTGCAATCTGCCATTATCTGCCTTATAAGATAACCTTACATTATAATATTGTCATGAAGTTAATATAATCTTTAATATTTCAGCAAACTTACTGTAATTACTTCACTTTCTGTGTATTTTAAAAATACTATACAATTGAAATATAGTTTATTAATAATCACTTAATTGTATATTGTATACAACTTTTTTCATATATAAAAATTTTTTTATTAAGAAAGCAAATATAACTAAATTAAATTAAAATATTAATAAAATTAACTATAGGTTGTATTTAATTCAGCCACTTCAAATGCTTTAGTTTTATATATATATCTCTGACTTTTCTTTTATTATATCAAATATTTGGACTAAATAGTTTATTTTTGTAGTTATATTAAATAATATTATAAGAAAATTATAATTACTGTTTTGGCTGCATATGGGGATAATAAGAAATGCTTAGGCAGATATTCATAGTTAAATCTTATTTCAAGACCGTCTTAAGTAATGTCTTAAGATGCGAATACAG